CTCTCTCTCTCTCTCTCTATCTATCTATCTATCTATCTATCTATATGTCCCTCTCTCTCTATCTATCTCTCTCTCTCTATCTCTCTCTCTCTCTCTCCCTCTCTCCCTCTCTCTCTCTCCCTCTCTCTCTCTCCCTCTCCCTCTCCCTCTCTCTCCCTCTCTCTCTCTCCCTCTCCCTCTCTCTCTCTCTCTCTCTCTCTCTCTCTCTCTTTCACACACAAATAGCGAGGAATCACTTGAGAAGCAAGTAGCTATTGATCTACTCTGCACACCTGGGCTCTCTTCTCCCCTCCTCATCTTTTTCTTTCACTTTCTCCCCTTCATCTTCTCTCTTCTATCTGCCTTTGCCCTTCCACCCCACCCCCCATCTAAGCTCTCCCTCCCCCCCCTGCCCTCATCTGTTCTCTCACCCCCCCCCCCCTTCCTCCTCTCCCGAAAGGACTATCATCAGTTCCATATTGTTTGTGGGAGAAGTGATCCTCATTGAACGCTCTCTCTCTCTCTCTCTCTCTCTCTCTCTCTCTCTCTCTCTCTCTCTCTCTCTCTCTCTCTCTCTCTCTCTCTCTCTCTCTCTCTCTCTCTCTTCTCTCTCATTCTCTCTCATTCTCTCTCTCTCTCTCATTCTCTCTCTCTCTCTCTCTCTCTCTCTCTCTCTCTCTCTCTCTCTCTCTCTCTCTCTCTCTCTCTCTCTCTCTCTCTCTCTCTCTCTCTCTCTCTCTCTCACATTCTCTCTCTCTCTCTCTCTCTCTCTCACATTCTCTCTCTCTCTCTCTCTCTCTCTCTCTCTCTCTCTCTCTCTCTCTCTCTCTCTCTCTCTCTCTCTCTCTCACACACACACATTCTCTCTCTCTCTCACACATTCTCTCTCTCTCTCTCTCTCTCACATTCTCTCTCTCTCTCTCTCGCTCTCTCTCTCACATTCTCTCTCTCTCTCTCTCTCTCTCTCTCTCTCTCTCTCTCTCTCTCTCTCTCTCTCTCGCATTCTCTCTCTCTCTCTCTCTCTCTCTCTCTCTCTCTCTCTCTCTCTCTCTCTCTCTCTCTCTCTCTCTCTCTCTCTCTCTCACATTCTCTCTCTCTCTCTCTCTCTCTCTCTCTCTCTCTCTCTCTCTCTCTCTCTCTTTCATTCTCTCTCTCTCTCTCTCTCTCTCTCATTCTATCATTTTCTCTCTCTCACTTTCTCTCTCCGTCTCTGTCTCTCTCGTATCTATTTTTTTTATCTATCTATATATCTATCATTCCTCTCTCTATATATCCCCCCCTCCCACTTTCCTTCTTCTCCCTCCGTCTCCTCCTCCTCCTCCTCCTCCTCCCCTCTCCTCCCTCCTCCCTCTCCTTCTCTCTCGCTTTCTCTTTTCGCTTTCGGAGAAGGAAGCGATCGAAGTGTTTTGAAGTTTGCTTTACTTCTCCGCTAATGTTTGTCGCCCAGTGCAGAATTCTTCACAAAAAGGGCAGTTGTCTGTGTCTTTTATTTTTCACTGTATGATAATGAGTCTTATTACTAGTAGTAGAAATGTTATTGTTGTTGTTGTTGCTGTTGTTGTTGTTGTTGTTGTTGTTGTTTATCATCGTTGTCGTCCTTGTTGTGACGCGGAAGTATAATGACTTTTCTCCTGAGATCGTGTGACATGCTTTGACCCGTCTCCGTCCTTCCACTTAAAGGGATTTCCGACTTTTGCATCCCTTCGTATTGTTTCTTTGTTTCTTTCTTTCTTTCATTTTCTTTTTTCTTCATCCTATGGATAGCAAGATGTAATTTGTTTTTTTCCCCCTTTTTTTCCCCAGATTTGTTTTGGAAGCTCGGCTGTTGATTGATTTCTCTCTCTCTCTCTCTCTCTCTCTCTCTCTCTCTCTCTCTCTCTCTCTCTCTCTCTCCTTTATAAGTATATTGAGGTGGTTAGATCCGTCTTCTCAGCCAGATGTTTCTTTTTTTCTTCTTCCTCCAAGTCATAAGGCTTTATGAAATCAGAATGTTGATAGACCTAGGCATCAGCAGACGGCCCGGAGAGGCGTCCTGGGGAATACAAACCCCATTTTCTCCCTTCTCTACCTTTATCGTAATGAAGCTTGCTTATGAGGGGTCACGTGGGTTGATTTTGGTCCCCCCCGCTTCCCGCCGCCCCACATGTAAATGCATCCAGCGGCGAGGCCGGGCGTGCGGGCGCCCCTCCCTCCCCGCCCCTGTAGCGCGGGCGGCGAAGAAGAACGTGATTTTCTCCCGCTTTTGTCTCTACCGATCCGTGGCCTCCGGAGCGTCCCTCTCCTCCCGTGGGGCTCGGACGACTCTCGCCTCTGTACCGGGAGGCCGTAAGGGCTAGTGTCCCTTGGAGGGGTAGGGCTGGAGGGGGAAGGGGTGCTTCGGCAAGGGTATTGTGGGAGAGGCTGGAGAGGTCTTGTGTCGAGTTCGCGGGGGACGTCGAGGGGCTTAGTGGGGCTACAAAGCTTTTTTTATTGCTTGTTGTTTTCCCTTTTTGGCCTGGTGTTATTTCGCGCGATTTTGGAAAGCAAGGGGCATGCATGGTTGAGTGCCGCTGGCGTCGCCCATCGGCGGTGGAGGGCGGAGGAGGAGGCGGCGGTGCGAGGCGTGGGCAGCGTCAGCGTGGAGGCGCCTCGAGAGCCCCGCCCATCGAAGGAGCCGTGAAGGAGCTCCAGCTGACCAATCACGGGCTGCATCTCCATCATAAAGGCCTGTTCCCGGGCGGGGGAGGGCCAGTTGACGACTGTGGCATCGCTGTCAACTCGCTTGAGTTATTGGTGGCCGATCAAAAGGCTCGAGGACAACGGGGATTCGATCAGCGTCGAGGCCGAGTCCTCCAGCGGCGCGAACGACACTCAGTCGCCGGTGACGAGTCGGCCGTGGCAGTCGGTGCTTCGCGGCGGCGGTCGGGAGCGTGTTCTGCGGTCGTCGCTTCGGGCGCGTTGGGAAGCTCCTTCGCCGAGGCGCCGCCGCTGGTCTCGAGAGCTGCTGGAGGCTGAGGCGTGAGTCCGTGAGCCTCGTGGCCGCGCCTCTGCTATGACCGCGCCCCCCGCATGCGGACCAACGTCTCGGCAGCGGTCACGATGGCCTACCTCGTCGACATAATGAGCATGATGGCGAGTAAGTGGCAGAGGGCAGTGTTTGTGGGGCTGTGGTGGTAGCCGGGCATGGCTCGGCCGCTCGGGGGGCACAGGACGAGGCGGAGAGGAACGGACGCCCCGCGAACACGCCGCGCCGCCCGCGGGGTTGGGCCAGGTGGACTTGTGCGCGAGTCCTTTGGGCGTGGGGGAGAGGGAGGGCGAGAGGCGGAGCCGAGACGCCGAGGCCGACAGCGAGGCCTTTGGGCCGGACGCGAACTGTGCACGGCGGCCAGTGTGTTTTCCTCGGCCTAATCTCAGGACCATGACTTGCTACCGTCGGAAATGCGCGACCCGCTGATATGGCCTTCCTCATCGAAGTCATTATACTGATTGCCTGTAAGTGGAGGCTTGTTTTGGCACCTTGGCCCCGTTCCCCTCCCTCTGTCCCCCGCCTAGTCGGGCATGCAGCCGTTGCCAGTGCCTGCGAATGCCTGAGAATCTCTCAGTATACATCCAGCATCCAGTATTCACCCTGGTTAGCGCTGCAGTATAGCTCTCCTTCACGCCCTTCGCTCCTTCCTCGACCTCGCATTCTCCCTTTCATTTACTCTCAGCCATTGTTCTTTTTCCGCCCCCCCCCCTCACCCCCCCTTCTCTCTCTCTCTCTCTCTCTCTCTCTCTCTCTCTCTCTCTCTCTCTCTCTCTCTCTCTCTCTCTCTCTCTCTCTCTCTCTCTCTCTCTCTCTTTCTCTCTTTCTCTCTCTCTCTCTCTCTCTTTCTCTCCTCTCTCTCTTTCTCTCCTCTCTCTCCTCCCTCTCCCTCCCTCCCTCCTTCTCTCCCTCCTTCTCTCCCCCCTCTCTCCCTCCTTCTCTCCCCCCTCTCTCCCTCCCCCTCCCTCCCTCTCTCTCTCCCTCCCCCTCCCTCCCTCTCTCTCTCTCTCCCCTCTCCCTCCCTCTCTCCCTCCCTCCCTCTCTCTATCTCTCTCCCTCCCTCTCTCCCTCTCCCTCTCTCTCACTCTCCCTCTCCCTTTCCCTTTCCCCCTCTCTCCCTCCCCCCCTTCTCGCTTTCTCTCCCTCCCTCCCTCCCTCCCTGCCTCTCCATCTTCCTCCAATTCCCCTCCCACTCCTTCTCTTTCTCCTCCCATTCCTTTATCCTCTTTCCTTCTTTTCCCTTCTCCTTCCCCTTGTCTTTATACCCATTGACTCTCTATCTTATCCATAAAATCCCATAGAATTCTTCCAGTGTCTCGTCTTGTTAAACATTTCTAGGAATTGTGATAGATAATCCATTGCCCGAATGCCATGTCTTATTGCTTATCTGGGAAGTGATTATCAAAAAAATGGGGGGAGGGGGGCAGGATTACATGTCGGGGGGTGGGGGTGGGGGTGAAGGATTACATGTCGGGGGGGGGGGGGAGTGAAGGGACGGGGGCAACGTCGCGACAGACTGACCTAAATAGAAAAAAAATATATATGTGCACACAAGGATGAGTAGGCCTATATACTTATGTATTTTATGCTGTGCGTGTCTTTGTTGCGTCAATAGGGAATCATGTTGCAAATATTTTCTAAGTTCCATTTCGACTGCGTTGCGTTTACTTGAGTGTGTGCGTGCGTGGATGGTACATTTTGATATTGTGGCGGAGGTTATAACCTCGCCTTGCATTGTTTTTTTGCGGTTTTCCTTTCACTCTTCTCCTTTCTTCTCTCTTCTCTTCTCTTCTCTTCTCTTCTCTTCTCTTCGATAGGCCTATATATTCGGTCTTCTCTCTCAGAATTATTATTACTTCTGTAATTGGTGACGTTATTATTAATAGCATCGATATTATTATTATTATCATCATCATCATTATTGTTATTGTTATTATCATTATTGTTATTATTTTTTTTATAGATTCAATTACCATATGCGCCTGTTCTAAATCCTGTATTTCCTTTGCCCTTGCAGTAAGCGTGGCCCAGGAGCCGACCCTCCAGGTGCTGCCGTCCAACATCCTGAAGCCCCTGGGCGACAAAGCCTACGTGTCCTGCAGCGCCGTCGTCGACAACCCGGAGCTGGTGACGGAGATGCATTGGTCCGGACCCAACGGCCAGGAGATACCCAACGCCGAGGGCACGTGAGTACCAACTACCGATCCGGCCTTTTTGTGTGTCTTCAGTTTTAGGAGGGGGGGAGGGGGAGTAGTAAAGAGGGAGGGGGTAGGGTGTAGGGCAGTGAGATTAGGGTAGATTGGAGTGTGATGGGAGCCGTGGGTGGGCAAGAAAGGGTAGTAATAGGTAGGAGGGTAGAGAGGACTAGGAAGAAAAGAAGGGGTTAGATTTTTTTTTATTTTAGAGAGAAAGGGAAAGGGGGAAGAGGTAGAGAGGAGTGTGGACGTGTGCGTGAGTGTACTTTGTGTTTTGTTTATGTGTTTAGGTCGTTTCACGGTCTTCTACGAAGTTGGAGAAGTAGCGGAGGGAAGAAAAATAGTAGATAGGGATAGGTGTCGAATGGTTTTGAGAGAAAGAGAAAGGGTGAGAATAAGAGGAGGGAGAGAGAGGGGGGGGAGGAGTAGGGAGGGAGAAGAACGAATATTTTATTTGAGATGTGTACGTGCGCGTGGTTCAGGGTCAACAGTGTTTAGTTCTGGTCTCAAGGAAGGGCCGGTGGGCGGAAGAAGGTGAAGGAGACTTAAGGCTAAACTCCGCTTCTTAAGGAGGCGGGAGTGAGAGGGAAGGGAACGGGACAAGCGAAGAAATGAAGGAAAGAATGAGGGAGGAACGGATGAGAAAAGAGTGCGAAAATGAGAGAGAGCGGGAGAGAGAGAGAGAGAGAGAGAGAGAGAGAGAGAGAGAGAGAGAGAGAGAGAGAGAGAGAGAGAGAGAGAGAGAGAGAGAGAGAGGGGGGGGGGGGGGGGAATCAGAGTGTGATGGGTGAGAGATGGAAGGAGGTAGGATAGAGGGGAAAAAATTGGGCAAATTATAGATAGGGAGAGTAATATAGGTAAGAACTACCAGCTGTTTTTTGTTTGTTTTTCTTTCACTGGGGGGGTTGAAGGACACCTCTTTTTTGTATTTGTTTGGTGCACATGGAACCCAAATCACTTGCTTTAGAATTGTCAATGGATTGTGATCAATTCTTCAAACATATCTTATAATTTAAGGATGTATTTGTTATTTTTTTATTACTGATTACGATGTGTTTATAAGTTTGTTTCAGTATTTATTCAAACACAGGCTTCAAACGCCACTTGCTGACATATGTTTGGATTCAAATCTACGCTTTTTTTTTTTTTAATCATGTGTCTTGACCTCTGCTTTTTCCTGTTTTCCCCCTAATTTCTGCGGAGCCAGACTTGATGGCAGGTAGGCTGGGTGAGGTTGCTGCACTGGAGGGTTGCCTCTCCGACCCCACTCTTAAGTTCAGGTGACCTCTTGGCCAGTCTTAGCTTGCCTTGTACATTATGTTATGGCCAAACAACCAATCCCTTTTCCAACCTCACGGACGATCTCCTCCTCCTCCTCCTCCTCCTCGTCCTGCTCCTCCTCCTCCTCGTCTTCCTCGTCCTCCTCGTCCTCCCCCCTCCCCCTCCTCGTCCTCCCCCCTCCTCTCTTTTGACAAGTCTCCTCGAGGGGGGGTGGGGTTGCTTTGGCCTCACGTAGCTTCTCGCAGACGTCAGTGTATGTCACTAGAGCGTCCAGACGTCGGTGGCCACGGCTGACGTAGACTAACTAAAGACCTTCCACTTTTTTGTATTGTATTTTGTCCCTTGCTGAAAGGCCACTGACTAGTTCCTGTATAGTAATAGTTCACTGGGGGGAGGCATGCGGAGAGAGAGAGAGAGAGAGAGAGAGAGAGAGAGAGAGAGAGAGAGAGAGAGAGAGAGAGAGAGAGAGAGAGAGGGCACGTGAGACAGAGACAAGAGAGGGAACCTTGCCAGTCCAAAGAGAACGGGAATGCACCTTTTTACCCTTGATAGACGAAAACCTGCATCCTTAACAACAACAACAACAGCAGAAACGATGGCGTCTTGCTCTCTTGGTGTTATCTTGCAACATAGCGCATTTTTATAGAGCATCCTGCAATGCCACCTTTGAAATACTCTTACGTGTATATTCTCTCATCGGTTGTATTATTGTATTTTTATCTGTTAGTCGGAAAGTGGATGTAGTTGGGTGTAGTAGAGGGAGATAGGGGGTGTTTGTGTGAGTGTGCGTGTGTATGCGTGCGTGTGCGTGTGTATGTGTGCGCGCGTTGGGTGGTGTGGCGAGGTGCCTGCATGTCCCCAGGCGCTATGTATGTGCCCCCGCCCACACGCATACACTTGTATACTGCCACACGCCCATCACGGTCACCACGCAAGCCTTGTTATTCTCGCTAGCTGGCAACCTCTGACTAGACCATGTAAATTAGATAGTGTAAATTAGAGTAATCCAACCAGACGTCGCACTTGTTTTCTGTAAAGCAAGCAAGCAAGCAAGCTGTAAAAGAGAGTAAGTGTGACGGCCGTATGCTTGAAGAAACTGTGAGATGTATTCGTTGGAGAAGAACATCCTTTACTAAAGAATAACCTCGAAAAAAAATATTAAGAATATGCCAACATATTGCAAAAGGGCATGGAAATTCTATTCTTGCAACAGACAGTCCTGCAGCTGTGCGCAAAAGCTTTCTACAAACACGGGAGATTTTGGCGTGAGATTTCGGCCGTGTGTTTGGGAGCTGATTTGCGCCGCGCAGTTTCTTGAAGCATGCGGCTGCAAGAGTTGAGTCCGAGCGAGTGGCTGAGTGAGACGGAAAAAAAAAAGAAAAGATAGAAAAAAAATCCCGCGTCTGTCGTTTCAGTGATTGTGATATTGTCGGACGAGAGCGATTAGCTTCAACTTCTGAGAAATCATTTGTTATTCTGTTCAATTACCGTTGCGGCAGGCTTTATAAGTAGTGTTCTTATAAGCTGAGAGGTCATTTTGGAGGCGCTATATACAAGCGAATAACTGGAGTAAGTGTGTGTGTGTGTGTGTGTGTGTGTGTGTGTGTGTGTGTGTGTGTGTGTGTGTGTGTGTGTGTGTGTGTGTGTGTGTGTTTGTCTGTCTGTCTGTCTGTGTGTATATTTTCGTATATCTACTTATGTATAGCATATATTAACCTTGCACGGGTTTCTTGTACAGTACACGTGTCCCTACACTCCACGCGAGCCCGCACTAACAGGCCCGATAAACAGTACTTGTACGGGCTGGAGACGGAAGATTTCAGCGTCCTCGTGAAGGCCTAGGACTCGCGCGCGTTCGAGGCCCTGGCATGTGGAGAGTCCTGACCTTCTGGCACTGGCACCCCTTCCTTCCTTTGCCCACCCCCACCCCCTTTCCCCTCGGACGCCGCCTCTGCGATGTCGGATTTGACCGCTTGACGTAATCCGAGACTCGCTAATGCTCTCCGGGGCCTTGGGCGGTTATCAGTCACTTCCTCTCCTCTCCGCCCTTCACTCTTCCACCTTTATTGATCAGAGTCTCAAGGAGGAAGGGTGGAGGGCGAGGGGGAGGGGGTGGAGGGAAGGGGAGAGGGTGGGGTGGGGGAGGAAGGGGAAGGAGGAGAGGGGCGTCGAGGGAAGGGATTAAGAGATGTGGGGGGGAAAGAGGGTACTTCCAACAGTGGGCCTAAGTCGACGCACCCACAACACGTAATCTACAGCTTTGGAGTGCCTAGTGAGACGGGGAGAGATTGCAGAGTGTGTATGTTCGCGGGCGTTGCGTGCGTGCGTGCGTGCGTTCTCGGTCGTTGTCGGTCCTCAACGGTAAAGACAAACCCGCGTCGCCGTAACAAGGATGCGCACCTTATCTCCGGGAAACGTTCGATAAGCTGGGGGAGGGGGGGGGCTGAGGGAGGGGGGAGGTTCATGAGTGGGGATGTAGGGGAGGGTGGGAGTGGGGGGGGGGTGATCCATGGGTGGGTGGATGGGGAGAGGGGGGGTCATGGGTTGATGGATGAGGGAAGGTGATGGGGAAGTTCTGGGGTAGGTAGATGGGGGGGGGGGGAAGAGGGGAAGGTTCCTGGGTTGGTATGTATATGGGGGAGGGGGGGGGGGGCTTGAGGGTGAAGGTTGGAGGGGACCCGAGAGGTGAGGTAGAGGAGGGGGAGGGGAGGTTTTGGGGGGGGGGGGGGATTTGATAAAATGGCGACGTGTATCGAGGAAGACGATAGGTTTAAAGTGGCTAGTGCACAGCCGCCATTATTCACTTGGTCGTATCTAGGCAAGATGGGATGTAACTTTTTTTTTTTTTTTTTTTTTTTTCTTATCTTATTCTAGTCTGATGTTTGTTCCTGCTTCGGCATCGGGTATTTAGACGTCTATTTATACGCTTCGTTTATTTATATTATGGCTCGTCTCGGTGTGGTTTAAATGGGAGTGGGGGGGGGAGGCGAAGAGAGAGAGGGAAGAAGGGATAGATAAAAAGAAAGTGAGAGAGGAAGGGGTGGAAGGTTGGGAGGGGAGAGGAAAGGAGGGAGAGAGAAAAAGAAAGTAGAGAAAGAGAGGGAAGAAGGAAGGGATGGAAAGGGATAGAGGATGAGAAAGCGGAGAGAGATAGGGAAGGAGAGACAGCAGAGGGAGGGAAAGGGGGAGAGAGGGAGAGAGGAAGAGAGGAAGAGAAAGCAAAGAAGGGAGGGAAGGGAAGGGAAGGAGAACCGACCAAGGGAGGGAAGGAGAGCAGCCGACAGCGTGTGTGTGGACAATCAGCGCCCCATCGGAAACGTGCTCTGTATGCATTGTCCCGAAGGCAACGCTCCCATCGCTGACGTTAGCGCGACTTCGGCTCGCCTCGCTTTTTTTTATCTTTTTTTCGTTTTTTTTTTTTTTTTCACTTTCTTTTCTAATTTTGGTTCATGCGGTTGTCTTGCCCCGCAATGCTTCTGTGGCTGCCGTAGATTATCTCCCGGTTGAAGATTATTTTTCTTAACTTGAACGCTGTTATTTTATTTTATTTTATTTTTTGTTTTTAGTTTACTTACTTTTTCATGCCGACAGGTTCATTTCATTTGCAAATAATCAGCTGCCAGAGCTCTGTTACCATGCACGCAGCCTCTTTTGCATTTTATGTTGCGCAGCTGATACATGGGGAATGTCCTCAGTTACTCATCACGTTTTCAACACGTAGAGGAATGTGGATCCGGATAATTTCGTCTATTTACTGCATAAGCTATGTAGGCTAGTACAATTTGCCGTCACTGAAGACCACATTTGGTGAATGTGCTCTGTGTGAGCGGTTTGTGTCATGGCCGGCGTTAGGGAGTAGACATTATGAGACAGCATCGTTTCTACGTTATTTGGTTATTAGGGGAGTTGAGGGGTAACTGCGACAGGCGACCTTCAGACGAGCACATCGACGGACGAGTGTGACTACGTGTCCGCCTGTAGCAGAAGCAGTGACACGACCTTCCTTTTCCCACTTGCTCGGTCGACGTCTTCGCGTTTTACTTTTTGTTGTCCGAGACTGTGGCCTTTTGTTATTATTATGATTTTATTCCAGAAATGATAAGAACCAGTGTAAAAGTTTTGATACAGTTACTATGCATGAGACTGTTGCATGCATGACTGTTAGCTGGCCATCACCACATGGTTGTATGCAGGAAGGAATGACTGCATAAAACTCCCACAACAGATCCTGTTAGTACTGAGTATGGATCTGCTTGTGTTAACTACAGTATTAACCAAACTAGTTCCCAATTGAATAGAAAGAGGAATACATAAAACTAAGAAATTCATATGAGAATTAGATTGAGAAACATGCATGCGCTGCCATCTTGGGTGTCTTTACACGTCGATGTCAAAATCACCATTCGAGTGTAAACCTCTTAGTGACCAGTAACGTACCTACTACATGTTACTGCTGTGGCAGACGGAGCATGCGAGCGTGTCCTGGCGGCGGCCCCTTCCGTGCCAGGGCGCGCCCGAAGGAGTCTCAGTGGCTGATGTTATGCTCCGGCGGCGTCTTGTCGGCGGATCCCGTTTTCTATCCCTGTCTCGTTTTCTTCTTAAAGAAAATGGCTTCATGTGGTTGTCTTTGCTGTGTGGACTGTCGCGAGCATAACCGAGCCACTGAGATGAGAGACATAGAGGCATCATTCACATAGATAGCATTTTGTTTACCATTGTTTGTAGTTCTAAATGGCATATTGGACAAAGTGATTCTTCTTGAATTATTTTTTTTGATATCCCCGTGATATTTAATGCCTGATTGACTGCTCGGTTTAACATTTTGTGTTTTCCAAGTGTACAGTGTCCATATAAAGCTGAACTATATATTCTTCATGTTCTTTCACCAACAGACGAAGGACAATAAATAGCCTGAACCGAAATGGGGTCTGTCTCTGTAATATAATTTAATAACAGTCAGTACCCCATTTGAATGTGATTTGTCTTCAAAATTCGAGTCATAAGGTGGAGGAGAAGGTGGTTCAATCTGCATTTTCTTCTTCAAAGCAGTTTAATGATATGAAGAAAGATGTAAATTTATGATAAAAAAGAGAAAGAAAAAAAAAAAGTAAAATGAAAAAGGACGAGACTCTCTTCTTATACTGATTTCCAGCCTGCAGATTCCAGTTTTGTCAGTCAATTTGTTTTATTTACAGCATTTGATCTTGTCTCTTCTTTTTCCTCTCTGAATGTAAATTTGCTACTTAGTCAGATTCCTTTAGTTATCTGTCTTCGTCTTCTCTTTTTATTTATTCCATTCTTGTTTCTCCCTGTATTTTACTCTTGGGATAATTGAAGATCAGAGATACAGTTTCCTTTTTGAAGCGTTGACAGCCATGTCATATTTTTGCATATCATATTAATACAATTAATCCTTCTAACTTTTAAAAAAATGCTTGGTAAACAAACAAACAAAAATACAACAAATAATAATAAAAAAAAACGAAAAAAGTACACTTTAAGGGAAAAAAAATGATGGATGGATCACTGCAGCTTGTAAACAGTCATGCATGAGTGGCGTCGGACTCCCCCACGCGGTGTTTAATATGGCCTCGCCCTTTGCCTTCGTCAGGATCATCGCCCTGGAGAGCATCGAGGGCTCCGGCAAGCTCGACCTCATGATCCAGAACCTGCGGGAGGAGGACTCGGGCGAGTACGAGTGCACCGCTGTCTACGCCGGCAACCAGAAGCTGTCGGTGAAGCTCATGGTGGACTTCTTCGGTAAGGCGGCGGGGCGCGTCCTCGTCATGGTATTTTTTTCGTATTGTTGTTGTTGTTGTTGTTCTTCTTCTTCTTCTTCTTCTTCTTCAGCTGCTGTTTCTCCTACTGCTTTTGCTTCTTCTTCTGCCCCCTCCTCCTGCTCTTCCTCCTCCTCCTCCTCCTTCCTCCCCTCCTACCCTTCCCCATCCTCCCCCTCTTCCTCCTCCTCCTCCTCCTCTTCCACCTCCTCCTCCCCCTCCTCTTCCTCCCCCTCCCTCCTCTCCTCTCTCTCCTCTCTTTCTCTCTCTCTTCTCCTCTCTCTCTTCTTTCTCTCTCTCTCTTTTTTCCTCTCTCTCTTCTTTCTCTCTCTCTTCTTTCTCTCTCTCTTTCTCTCTCTTTTCCTCTCATATCTTCCCTTCTCTCTCTCTCTTTTTTTTTCCTCTCTCTCTTCTTTCTCTCTCTCTATCTCTCTCTCTCTTTTCCTCTCTCTCTCTTTTCCTCTCTCTCTTTTCCTCCTCTCTCTCTCTCCTCGTCTCTCTCTCTCTCCCTCTCTCTCCCTCTCTCTCTCCTCCCTCCCTCCCTCCTTCCTCCCCCTCCTCCTCCTCCTCCTCTTCCATACAGTTAATAATTGTGAATGGTTGCAGTGAATCTTAAGATATTACGAAAGTAATTAATCTGGGTATTATGATAGCAGTTGATTTCATTATTTATGCTAACATATCAGTACAAGCATCTTACAAAATAGTAAAGTGCACTTTATAAGAGGCAGTAGAATTGAGAGAATTGTACATTTCACATGACTAAAATACTTGGCTATGGATTATCTTTGTCCAGGTGCAAAATGCATCAGGTCAGTGGGAGAGCATTGGCACCAAAAATGCCGAGGAAGTACAATACCCAGCTACAGTCTACACGATTACGGGTCTCCGAAGCAGCACTTTTTACAAGATTGAACTGCGAGCGCATAATGCTATTGGATTTTCTACCCCGGCCGAGGCAGTCATCAAGACTGCGCATGGTATGTAAAATGCAGACAAGCAAATTATGGCCATTGAGTTTTAAGAAAAGTAATGCAAGTAGTTTACATGTATGGGGTTAATTTTTGTTTTTCTTCTAAACTTTAAAAAATGTTTTTTTTAGTGGTTTCATTTTTGGATCCGATATGGGCACTGAGTCCGTAAAATGATTCTTACAGATTTTCCCCCAAAATAATCTTTTTTTATTATTATTTTCCAGTGATTATAATGAGCAGTGAGATTATTTAGGCTTAATTATTCATTGAATCTCATTCCACACCAAATTACCTGTGGTACATCTAGTTTACGTTTCATTTTCTCCATCTTCAACCAGCTTTTTCTCACTCACCCTCTCACTCTCTTTCCTGTTTTTCTTTCTCCTTTGATTTTTAGATTCATTACCTTGCATTCATTTTATTTGTAAATTTGTGTATATAGTGGATGTCATTTCCAGGCATCTTATCTTTCAGCAGTAATTTCTTGCATGATAAAATCATCACATGCATTTTTAGTGTATGATATTGCTATTATTGTTTTTTTTTTTTTTTTCCTGAAAAAAATATATATATAGATTTTGGGATAACTGTGTAGGTAAATTAGTTCACAGAAGTTTTCCTTTTCCTTCAGAATATATAGAGGATGACTTATATAAAATATAGTTAGAAATTTTATCTTTGTAACCAAACCATCCAGATGTAAATAGCAGTTGCTTGTTTCATTCATTTCAAGTAACTTTCAAAATGTGTTGCTAAAAGAGGTAATAAAATAAGTAGGGAAAATTAGAGATTTTTTTTTTCTTTCTCTCTTTTTTTCAATATAGCAGTATTATTCAGAAATTTGCATTCTAAGTGTAGATTTTTTAAAAATAAATTCCTTTCATTGAATGTCCTTTGAATGCCATATATTGCATCAGTTTGAAATTTGTTTACTGGTATTTTTAAGTGTTCTATGTATGTGTGGACTGTTGATGTATGTTATGTGTGTGCTTGTGATTTAGTTTCTGGTTTCATTTCTGATTCTACGTGCAGTTTGTTTAAAAAAAATCTCTGTATTAAGCTGTACATTTCATTTTGATTCAGCGCATGCTTAAAATCAGTAAGTTGACTCTGCAGCACATGTAAATTTGCCTCTCACAGTTAAATCCACTTTTCATTTTTCATGTAAGATAATTGTGGAAAAAAAGTAAATGATCACCTCTTTTGCATGTTTTGATATATGCCATATTTGTATTTTGTTCTTTAAATATTGATTCAGCATTTGCATATTTGCAGTATATAAATCATGTAGATGTAATGTAGTGTGTGTGTGTATGATGAATGTGTGGGTGTCTGTCATTTTATCTCTTCACATCATTTTTATTTTGTGGTTTACTGTTATTATTGGCCAGAAGCATGTGTGATTCAAAGTGAATCCCCGATCATACAGCCAGGCCCTTTTTTTTTATTTATTTTTTTTTTTTGCTCATTAATGCCACAACCATGTCTTCTGTGTGGGTCCTTTTTTGTGTGTTGCTGAGTGTGGGGTTGTTGTGTGTATTACAGATCCATCGGCGCCGCCAGGTAGCGGGTCGGGGTCGCCAGTGCAGTACAGTAGCGTTGCCCCCTCCATCAGTGCCCCCGCCCACGGTACCTTTCTGCTTACTGTCTGCTGCTGCCTTCTCTCTGCCCTCACGGCCGCCACTACGCATTAGGCCTACATCATGCATACTTACCAGTTATACTCAACTAGGAATCAGATAAATTTTTTTTATAACAGGACCAAAATAAGTGATAAAGAAAAGAATATATCTATCCCTCTCTCTATATATATATGTGTAGGCAGTTGAATTAGGGTCAGATAATACTAGGACTGTTAAAAGATTTTCTGATGGCTGGATCTGCCAGTTTGCAATATTTCTCGGTGTATCCTTACTATACGTGTAAGGAAATGGAAATAGGTTCCTTCCATGAATATTGACAGTGTTTAAATTTGATACAGATAGTGTGAACTGTTTCAATGTTGCTGAGTGTGGGGTTGTTGTGTGTATTACAGATCCATCGGCGCCGCCAGGTAGCGGGTCGGGGTCGCCAGTGCAGTACAGTAGCGTTGCCCCCTCCATCAGTGCCCCCGCCCACGGTACCTTTCTGCTTACTGTCTGCTGCTGCCTTCTCTCTGCCCTCACGGCCGCCACTACGCATTAGGCCTACATCATGCATACTTACCAGTTATACTCAACTAGGAATCAGATAAATTTTTTTTATAACAGGACCAAAATAAGTGATAAAGAAAAGAATATATCTATCCCTCTCTCTATATATATATGTGTAGGCAGTTGAATTAGGGTCAGATAATACTAGGACTGTTAAAAGATTTTCTGATGGCTGGATCTGCCAGTTTGCAATATTTCTCGGTGTATCCTTACTATACGTGTAAGGAAATGGAAATAGGTCCTTCCATGAATATTGACAGTGTTTAAATTTGATACAGATAGTGTGAACTGTTTCAAAAGTTCACTTGCTACTGGGATAAGAATTTGGTTTGTTTTATTTTATTTTTTATTTTTTTTATTTTTTTTCGATTTTTGTATTTTATTATTTTTTTTCTTGGCACAAGTAACCAATAGACATCAGATAGTAGTTGAATACTGTTCACCATAAATTGAGAGAAAAAAAAAAAAATACAAAATGAAAAAAAAAAAAAAAAAAAAATCACTAAAAGATAATCAGTTCCTCATAATCTCACACAGCAGAATAAGCTTCACAAATATTGACGATTTACTGACTTGTAGTGATACCGAAGAAAAGGAAAGATCAGAGACCGTACATAGGATAACATTTCGGTGACATTTGCATTTTGAAATGAAGCATCATCTCACAAGAGGAAAGTGCCAGATGACCTAGGACTTTGAATAGTGTAAAGCCATGAAACAACTAGAGCCGTTCACACCATTTGACTTTGTGCTACTGCTTGAGGTACTGATCTAAAGACACTTGTGGTGGTGTGTTTTGAGTGTAGTCAGTGATCAGAACATTGTCATCATTTTTATCTCTTTTTTGAGGGGAAAGGTTGATGACGAGAGGAAAAAGGTACTTTCTATCCATTTTTCTCTTTTTCTCCCAAATTGAATGTTGAGTTTGGAGATAGGAGTGTTGTATTGTTGTCAATACACTTTTTTCCTCATATGCAAGATTTATGAATATTGCAGAGTGCTTAGTTTTGTTTAGATCATCATGTTGGATATGTAGATTTTTTTTTTTTACATAATATTTTTGGAAAGAAACTGTTTAGTTTATTTTTTCACAATGTAGAATACTACATTTTTTTAGTATTTTAAATAGAAGTGATTTAAGTACACGACCAATGACTAGTGAATTCTTGAGCCAGTGAATGGTGCAGAATATTTAACAAAAGTTGACCTTGTTAGAGTAGCTTTAAGATTAGTATCAATGAGACGCGTGTCATGTGACATGCAGTAGGTGAGACCAGGTGCCACATGGGTGCAGGTCAGACGTGGGCTATTGGCCTCTGGCAGGATAAGTTACGTTCCAATGAATGCCAAATTTTTTGCAGTATTATGCAAAGTTTTTTCTTCTGCACTAGTGATATCAAGTTTTCATGGCTTGGTATCAGAGTGCCAGTAAGAAGTTGATCATCCACAAGTAAATATATTCTTCCTTCAGCAGCAGGCATTGCAGCCTGTTGTTAACTTGTCAGTTGAACAGTCTTTGGAACAGCTCTTGGTGAGGGGTTTTACCTGCTGGTCTGAATGCCGTGGCAAACCTGCACTGCCATTTGTCTGTTAACGTTCTCTCTCTCTGTCTATCTATCTATCTCTCTCTGTCTGTCTCTCTCTCTCGGTCTCTCTCTCTCTCTCTCTCTCTCTCACTCTCTCACTCTCTCTCTCTCTCTCTCTCTCTCTCTCTCTCTCTCTCTCTCTCTCTCTCTCTCACTCTGTCGAGACTTTTGTTAGGCTGGTATTACAATCCTCTTGATTGGTGATTGCCATGTTTAACCGGAAGATTTTTTTTCACAACTGTAGTGTAATAAGCTAATTGCTCTGTATGTGAGAACTGATGAGTGGATAAGTAATTTAATTAGTACATGCGTTGTTCTATAGTGATTTACTATGAATGTTGCAAGTGTTGATGCTAAGGCTTGCTATCCTGCAGAGTACCATCCAGTGTGATCATTAGTAATTGCAAGCCTTAACAACAACTCTTTTTAAACATGCTTATATAAGTATGTATTTGACTAAGTATTTTGATACAGCCTTTAGGTCTCGAGATGTGTTGAAGGTGATAATGATATTATAAACATGGAAGATAATATACTGAAAGTGTGTCAGTGATGGTCACTATGCTAACCTTTTAACCCTAGCCTGTGTCACTGTATATATAAAGATCAGCTCATTGTTAGTGATAAGCAGTTAGGAACTTCCAAGTTTCCGATAGTTATATGTGTGGTGTAGTGGCGGCGTGAAAAAGAAAAAAAAATAAAGGGCTACTCTTTCTGCTAGGCATTGTTGTGTTTGCTAAAAAGCTCAATCATTCTGTTTTTTTCTCTCCCCCCCCCTCTCTCTCTCTCTCTCTCTCGTTTTGTCTCTTCCACTTAATATTTACCAAACCCTCATTACTACTTCTATTACTGCTACTACTACCACTACCACTACTACTATCTACGCTGAGGAGTCGAGGTAGGAATGTCCAGCCTCAGTCCTTCTCGCCAAAAATCCTACTTTTTCTCTGATTTTGTTAGTGTCCTCTTGGAGTAGTGGCGCCGGTGGGGAGGTTTTATAATTCAATGGTGGCATCATCAGAAAGTGTTGATTTTTTTTAATCATGTCGAACATGTTATCACTTCGTTTCTTCATGCGTTTTGAGGTTTCATTTGAAAGTTTCCTTTTATTTTTTTATTTTTTTTATTGTTTTTTTGTAGATATTGTTATTATTTTCTCTACAGCAAAAAGAACAACTTTTGATTTGTTTATTTATTGTTTCATTTGACAAAAGTGGCTTCTCTTTTTTTGTGAAGATTCAAAAAGATGACCTTTGCAATTGAGAAACGAAGTCCGGTTATATGTTCTCCCTCGCTCGTGACTGAGGAATTCCAAAGCCAGGAGAGGGTTTTGCAGAAGGCAGTGGCGACATGTGACTCTTGTCCTTTTTGGAAAATCCCCACCGAAGGTTTTGGAATTTTTCACTCACGCTGTCTTGTATGTCCATGGTGATCACCATTTTGGCCTTGTCAACAATTCCCAGTGAAACAATTGCACAAGATGACTACAATGATCGTATTTATTTTTTTCTTCATAAAGTTGATGTTTGAGTTTTCGTCAGAATGAGAGGATGGTGAATATTTAATGCTATAGTTAATCCTTTTTATTATTTGATTAATCACATGGCTTTAAGGTAATCCTCAAGTTGCATGTCTCTCACTTCACAGAACTTGGATGTCACTTTGTGCATTCCTCAACGAACGGGAAGTGTACTTTATCCTGTTAATGTTCCCGTTTCAGATGCAACAGTTTTCGTGCACGGTGCCCATTCTACACACGAATGGCACCGGCACCCTAAAACTGTTGTAATCCACTAACCAAACGGGCCACACCCCGGCGCCACTCTCACTAGAGCACAGTGGTGTGGATATGCACCTCGATAGCACGCAAAATTTGTTTTATTATTATTATTGTTATGTAGCTTAACCCTCGTCACTGCTGACTCTTGCTGTATCCATCACAGTTTGTATTTATTTAACTCTTTATGTATATATATACATATACATATGCAAAATGTATATATAGTGAGTGAAGCTTGGTGGCCGATGCTGCCACCAGGGTAAGGAATGTGACCAGTGATGGGATGTAGCAAGAGGCGTGGTTGGACCGAGGGCGACGTGTGTGTGTCTGCATGAGTACCGGCACTGGCGTGTTGCTGCACCGTCTGCTCCACCAGTTGTCCTCTCACCTTGACCCAGTGTTTTTTTTTGTCATGAATGTTGATTAAAAGATCTAAGTGTTTTATTTTATTGGTTTATGGTCCTTATTACATTCCTCTATTTAGTTTAGTCTGTCTATAAACCTTTAGCATTTTTTGTGTTATTTATTTTTTACGTTGTGAACGTTTTATATGTTTTACTAATAGTAGGGAAATCCGTTTTTTATTTCTTGTACGTTGTCAGTATCCACATAGGCTGGCTAATTTCCCGTCGTAAGCCCTTAGTAGACCAATGTTCCAAAGGTGCGGCTCTGGCTGGGGAAACTACAGCTCTTAGGGACTGTTTCATGTGGCAGTAGGCGTCAGTAGAGAGTGAACAAGTGAACACTTCCTCGACAACCAAGATAAATGTTCCTTAGAATTGTTGTATTATCACCCAGTGACCTAACATGAACATACCTCGCTCGTGTAAAACTGATAACATTTAAGACACTTGTGGTTGTTAATTGTCGCTTTTTGAAAGTCTAGCAATTACCCCTCATATGAAGAGGAGCTACTGCCACCACTCTCAGTGTGAAAATACCGTTGTTTTCATGGTAGTTGCAATCAGTGTCCTTTTTAGTCGTAGTCCTATTAGTATTTTTCCCTTAGAGAACATCCTCATTTTTGGCCAGCATGATTTTTTTTGGATAGAAAACAATAGTTCTGACTGCATTAGGTCTGTTAATCTACATTGCAACCACAGTAACCTCCTTCCCAACACACCCCAGCCCGTATCCAGATTGACACACAAAAAATGGATACTTATGGAACTGGGTGTGAAGGTATATTGGATGTATGTTTTTACATTTCGAAGAGATCGCTCTTAGTTCTCCCTGTGAGAGCTGTATGTTCCCCCCACCCACGAGCCCCCACCCCCACCATCTAGACCACCTCGGCTCGCTCTGTCCTAGTTATTTCGTGTGCAGTGGTTCATTCCTTTGACTTGTTCATCCCGCGCTGGTCACCACTTGGCATGGGCAAAACCATTGACCTGCCCTCTGCTAGTTACCAGTTGCCCAACTTATCACTTTAATGCTGAGTGTAATTAAGAAATTGTACAAATTGTTTGGAAATACAAGATATTCATAAGATGAGCCTTTCATTTATCACTTCGAGGACGTTTAGAGCAAGCCTTAATGATTATCGACTTGTAAATTGGCTTTTTATAAATATATGTTGAAATTTGGTCCAGGATCATCAAGGCTCGTTGTGAAACATTTCTGTGTGTGGCTTTATAAAGAGTGAAACTATTTACCTTTAGAATGCTGTATGCTGTATACCCCATTAGAGAGAGAACCCTTCTGACCATATCCTCAGTCGTCCACTAGTTTAGCCGAAGAAAAGCTAAAATCAGTCTCTACTTTTTTACTTCTAGTAGTAGCATACTCGTTACACATTCCTTAGCGCATAGTCTTTTGGTCTTCATAAACACACAAATGCTGATTTTTCAAAGCCTAACAAATGCGTAGTGACCCCTCCACCCCCGTACATTGTCACTGTTTGTGTACACCAATCGCTCTGCCTCGCCCTAATCCTTTTCCCAACCTCACCTCTGTGCCTTGAATGCTGCTACCGAACACTTCAGCACTCCGGCATCACCTTAACCCAGACCCTCACCCCCTCCCACCACTTTTTCGTACTGGAATCCACTAGCTCTCCAACCTCCCGTTCTAATACGCGCTTCACTAACCCATGGTGTCCGCCAACCTTGCCTCCACCATCACCCCCACCAACCTCTCCACCCCATCTGAGCCTCTGCCATGCTATCCTAATCCACAACCCTGATATTTTTTCACTATATACTTGATAGTCACTGTGTTTTGTCTCAGTTTTCCTTCCCCGACCGCTACCCTAGACCTTGCTCTTGCCGTTAAAGAGCGAACTAATTATACCTCTTCGATGAGTAGTAAGAGATAAGCCTGAAAGAAACGAATATGAATGATAGTGTGCAGGTATTATTTCCGTAACTTCAGGACTTGGATTGTTCCATCATCACCTAAACAGTTTCAAGACCATTTCTAGTGACGTGTGTGCGTGTGTATATAAACATTATATTTATATATATATGAATATGGTCTCATTTGTTTAGACTAGTTTGCTTTGATAATTCTGATCTAACTTAAGTTTTACATAACCGTGCCTTTATAATATAATGTTAACACATTTGTTAGTGGGATATGCAAGGCTTGCACACAGCCGCCGCTTGGGCAACTTGTTCATTAACAGGTATCATTAGCTTTGCTCTCGCGACCTCTAGGTACCAGTCCCGTTAAACCTTTCCCGACCAAACCCTTTTTTCTCTCTCCTCACTACGGATTTTTTTTCCCCTAAGGAAATCAGAGTGACCCAAACTTTGCTGTGGGACTGATGATTTTGGAAAACTTTGTCAATCAAGATTAATCTCAACTATTCCACCCCATCTTTTATCTTTCCTGCAAGACTCTTCAGGTATTTCCGTCCCTCTCCACGCTGTCCTATCCTTGTCCTTTGCGATCCTACCCTGAAATGTCCCTATCCCTGCCCTGTCCCTCTCCCCCTGACGTGACACCCGGCCCATCCCTCGACCTACGGTAGTTGGTGTTTTCTGGCTTGGGCCCCTAGGGAAGCCTAGCTAGGGTTCCAGCCACCTGTCTACTCTCGCCAATGTCAGCCAGTACCACTGTCTACCGTACCCGTACTTCTGCCTACCAACCCAACAGTGCAGCGACACGTAGTGTAAGTGTGGGCCAGGATAAACGGATTTCCCTACAACAGCGTCATCTTGTTAAGCCTTGAGCACCTCGACTATCGTAGTGGCTGTTAATGTTCACTACTCGTTCTCTCTTTTTCTCTTTCTCTCGTTTCAGTGCTCTGTCTATCCTCTCTCTTTTACCAAACGGGCAGGAGGGCTCTCCCACATATTTGTTAACATTTAATAATTTACCTGTAAGGAATACTTTTAGAGACAGACAAATGTTAAAGGTACATAAACACTCGCTTCACGCTTTCACAGTGTGTAGTGAAAATAGGATAGTCACCGTAGAAACACCACATTAGATTTATCATAGAAAACTGTTCGTCCAATGACATGCAACATGGTAAGGGTGAAAATATAGCTTAATATGGTGATGGGAAGTAGTTTGTGGTTTGCTATACAAAGGCCAGCAATAAAATGCTCCAGCCTCTGCTTCATGTATATATTAATACGTTTGATATATTCCAGAAGCCCTGCTTTTTGCTACAATTCTGCATAGATTTTCATCGAGGCAGTTTTTTTAGCAACTGTATATCCATGAACATATACCAAACGATAATATTTGTATGCATTGATGTTGCTGGTTATGTTGCATGTCTTGGGTATGCAGTGAAGATAAGACGACCGCCTCTTGAAACCCCATAACTTGCCAGGGAAATACACATTACTCTCATTAAAATGACGAATTATAACTTCGGGGGTTTCACGTACTGGCGGAGTCGAGCCGGTGAACAGTTGTTGATAAACTCGTAAACCTTCAGGCAACGATGAGGCCGAGGCATCAACAGCCAGTCCAGGAGTGGGACTCATCGCAGGCATTGTCGTCATCGCTGTTCTCGTCATCGTTGTCATTGTTGACTTGACATGTTACTGTACCAATAATGCTGGTTTGACTGCGGCTGTCCTGGGTAAGCGAGGTGTCAA